GTGAGGGACAGGGGGGAGGACAGGAGAGGGGGGCAGAGGGGAGATGTGGGGAGCACAAGGGATATTGGGGGATCACATCCAATGTAAGGGGGGAGCATGTAAAATATGGGGAGAGGATGCCAGATAACGGGGGGGGGGGTATGGAAGATAAGGGGGGAGCAACGAAGATAAGGGGGGAACATGGTAGATAAGGGGGGAGCATGGGAGATAAGGGGGGAGCGTGGGAGATAAGGGGGGAGCATGGGAGATAAGGGGGGAGCGTGGGAGATTAGGGGATAGCATGGGAGATACGGGAAGAACATGGCAGATAAGGGGATGAATTGACCAGGAATAGATTAAGTGGGTAGAGGGAATTGGGGGGGAGGGGGGGGGGTTGAAAAGGGATGGATGCGAACAGAGTGGATGAGAGGGGCGGTGAGGAAAGGTGAGGGACAGGGAGGAGGGCAGGGATCCAGAGCATACAGTAGGAATACGTGAGGGACAGGGGGGCGGACAGGAGAGGGGGGCAGAGGGGAGCAAGGAAGATAAGGGGGGAACATGGAAGATAAGGGGGGAGCATGGGAGATACGGGAAGAACATGGCAGATAAGGGGATGAACTGACCAGGAATAGAATAAGTGGGTAGAGGGAATAGGGGGGGAGGGGAGGGGGGATGGGGGGGGGTTTGAAAAGGGATGGATGGGGACAGAGTGGATGAGAGGGGCGGTGAGGAGAGGTGAGGGACAGGGAGGAGGGCAGGGATCCAGTGCATACAGTAGGAATACATGAGGGACAGGGGGGAGGACAGGAGAGGGGGGCAGAGGGGGGCAAGGAAGATAAGTGGGGAACATGGAAGATAAGGGGGGAGCGTGAGAGATAAGGGGGGAGCATGGGAGATAAGGGGGGAGCGTGGGAGATAAGGGGGGAGCATGGGAGATAAGGGGGGAGCGTGGGAGATTAGGGGATAGCATGGGAGATACGGGAAGAACATGGCAGATAAGGGGATGAACTGACCAGGAATAAAATAAGTGGGTAGAGGGAATAGGGGGGGAGGGGAGGGGGGGGGGGGGGGGGGGGGGGGAATCCTACTTACTCAAGTGGGTGATGCTGATGGCGTCGAGCCAGTAGCCGGGGATTCCGACCAAAGCCGACGCCGAGTCGCGGGTCGGGAAGCATGATCGGTTTCCTCGTCTGGTGCTGCAGACTCTGGGGGACCGTCCTCCCACTCGCGCAAGACGTTGTCAACCCACGTCCAATTCATTGGACCGAGCACTCTGTCACTCCGGCCACGACGCACCCTTGTTTCATGCCGTACACGTGTAACGTATGCTTTCACAACCCGATCCAATGTATTGTTCCAGTGCAGCACTGCACCGGCAATTCTAGTCGGGTAACTCCCCTGAAATCTGAGGCGCTTAGGTGCGTATTTCAAGATGATTGAGTGGAACGACTCGTTCATCGAACTTGTAGCCCCATCGATTATGGTCACCACCTTGGACGGTGAAAAATTATCCCAAAGCCATTCAGTGACACGCGCATGCGCCACGGACCCAGGAGGGTAAACCGCCTGCTCACTACCCCAATGCTCCGTCACACACCTTGGGTTCAGCCCGGGCCGTGCACATCCAGTATGAATGCCGGCAAAGTGATCGCCTGCCATACAAATCTCAAGTGACACCTCTTCCGGTGTCATCGGATTTCTCGCTTTCTTCCGTGCACCACATCGCAGCATAACGTGTGCGATATGGACGCCCAAACGGTCAGCCACATCAACCTCCTTCACTCTGCCAGTTCTCCGGCGTGCACTCCGTCAGCCCACCTCCGCCACGATGGTACGGGAGCACTCAGGGGCGTTGCATCCCCTACCGCCGCACCGCCGTCACGCTGTTCGTCAATGGAGGATGCCGGTTGCAGCTCCCCAGACCTAGGCGGACATGGCTCTGCAGCTAAGTGGGACGTGCGTCGGTCGGGACCTAGGTTGCAATTTCAACAAATGAAAAGGGTCAGTGTATTGTTTTAACAAACGCAAAAGTGCAAAAAGGGGGACAGTCAGGCAAGATTGAATCACAAAGCAACCCACCTATCGAGCCCGCCATAGTGTCTGCAGGAGCCCGCCCACTCGCATCCCCTACTTGAGGCACCTGCGGCAGTTCGACTCCAGTCCATGCTTGCACCAAAATGGCCGAGGGCACCGTCGACGGCCGAATGCCGTTTACCGTGTGCACATCATATCCCCATAGTGGGCCGATATCCGCCTCAGTAACCTCAACAGACATGCCATCCTCCAACCCTCCTTCCATAGTGCCACTTGCTCCGGCGAGACCTGGAGCACTCTCTGGTGGTTGGCTAACTGTTGCACTTGGCCCGCTTCCATCGACACACAAGACCAGACGTAGTTCAGGGTACTTATATTTAGCATCCGACTGCTTCATCTCCTTGTAGGGAAAGCCCTTCAAAAGACACACTAGACGCACTAGCTCCTTTTTGCCTTCGCTGGCACGCGGCACTAACACAGGCGGACGTTAATCCCTTAGCCAACCTTGGAGCTTGGGAACAGTTAGAAGCCATAGCTGTTCGCACACGCTTGCAGATTCCACGCTGTCACACGCCCACTGTGCATCCTGAACATCCCTCCTAAATCGCCTCTTGGTGTTGCCGATCTTATGCCACCAATCTACCTGGTGTCGTATACCCCGGTCTGCGGCTCCTCGAGCGTATTTATGTATGTTTAAATCTCTTTGTCTCTGCTGACCCCTCTATCTCACTATCTCACTAACTCCCTCGCTCTCTCTCTCTCTCCCTCTCTCTTTCTCTCTCTCTCTCTCTCTCTCTCTCTCTCTCTCTCTCTCTCTCTCTCTCTCTCTCTCTCTCTCTCTCTCTCTCTCTCTCACTATCTCTGTCTTTATGTTTATATATATATATGTATATGTGTATATCTCTTTGTCTCTGCTGCCCACTCCATCGCACTAACTCCATCCCTCTCTCTGTTGCTCCCAATCTCTTTCTCTCCCTCCCACTCTCAACCTTCCCCCCCCCCCCCTCCCCTCTCTCTCTCTCTCTCTCTCTCTCTCGCTCTCTCTCTCTCTCTCTCGCTCTCCATCTCTCTCTCTTTCTCTCTCTCTCTCTGCCTCTCTCTCTCTCTCTCTCTCTCTCTCTCTCTCTCTCTCTCTCTCTCTCTCTCTCTCTCTCTATCTCTCTCTCTCTCCCTATATCTCTTTGTCTCTGCTGACCACTCCATCTCACTGTCTCCCTCACTCTCTCTGTTTCTCCCTATCGCTTTCTCTCCCTCCCTCTCTCAACCTTTCCCCCCCCCCTCTCTCTCTATCTCTCTCTCACTCTCCGTCTCTCTTTCTCTCTCTCTCTCTCTCTCTCTCTCTCTCTCTCTCTCTCTCTCTCTCTCTCTCTCTCTCTCTCTCTCTCTCCATCTCTCTCTCTCTCTTTCGGTCTCTCTCTCATCCCCTCCCCCGTCGCTCTGTCTCGCTCGTACCTTTTGCGCGCGTCCGCCGTTGCTTGTCTGGTCGCAGCCTCTCGCCTCTAGGCGGCACGGTGGTATCGTGGGTTTCGGCGACAGGCCGTCTACGACTGTGGGTTATGTGGCTCGGGGTCTGCTACTGCGCGGTTCCGTCGAACTCGGGTTCGTTCGAGGGTACGTCAGCGGTGGCTGTTCTTGCTGCTTAGTGACTAGGGGTACTGAGCTGATTTGGGACGTGACTGGCTTATGTTGCTTATTCCGTCGCCTAAACTCCCAACCAGCTTGAACATTCCCGCCACGCTGTTTCAACGGGGCTTGGTGCTGCCCTGCGGTTTCTTCAGGTGGTCGCAATTACGCCTCACGGAAGTCTGCGTTGTAACGCGCATCTGCCCGGCCGTGTGGTCGGTCCACATTGATGCGCGGTTGCTATTTTTTTTTCTTCAGTTTTCAGATGCGTAGTCAGCGCTGGACGCGATGCGCCATCCATCTGGTGTGGTTTTGCGCGTTTTGGCGTCTTTCATTCGTGCTCGAGCTCTTGTTCCCACATCGTCTGTTGTTGCGCATTTGCCGCCTGACAAGAGATGGTGCCCTTTGTGCCGTGCATACGTTGTTGGTGCCACATGACGCGTTTTTTTTTTTTTTCCCGCTTGCTACCGCGCAATCGTCGGCTAGAGGGACTTTTCTGCCTCGTACCAATTTGTGTTTCTCTTTCGGCTCTTGCTTCGCGTTTTTTTGTTCCTGATTGGTTTTCTGCACTGCTGCGTGGGTGGCGGAGCTTTTGTGTCTCACAGTTTTGCGCCTGCCTTGATTGTTCTGCGTTAGCGAATGCTCTGGGGTAGTTGGCGGCATTCGCCTCCAAATTTTCAAAGCCATGTTTTTCGCATCCCTCGCAGCCAATCAAACCCTGGCTCCACTTTTACGAGCCGCGCTCTCCAAAGGGGGACTTCGCGCCTTGTAACTTGGGACCTGGGCTTTAAAAGAAGCAAGCATACAGTAATATATAGAAAGTAGGAAATAAAACAGTTGTAGAATACAGTTGAAGGGACGGTTATCGAGTCGCACAGCGACTCGATTTGTCGGTTCGGTTACTACCCTTGCAGTCGCAACGGTCAGTCGCAACCTCCAGTTGCAACCCTTCGAATCCTTTCGACCTTTCGTGTTCTTTCGTCCAACCTCCTCGCGTAACCTCCGTTGACTAGTGTACCCGATACGACTTTCCTCGAGTGTAGTGTTACACTTCAGAAACGCTCAAGTCCTCGAGGTATTTCCAACAGAAACTCCTTCATGTTCTGTTGTTCCGCTATAAGTTTAGACGTCTGTGTGCGAAACATAGCTCCAGAAGTTGAAAGCTTGTGAAGCTTGAGTTCATTACTAGCAATTCAAATCAAGATTTTCGGAACATAAATCAACACATCGATGCGCAGTTTACATGACGAGTACAGCCTGACTGCTATTGAGCTGCGTAGCCTAAATCGCGTACAGACCCATCGCCGCCAGCTAGCACACCTTGCTTCCACCATACTATCCATCAGGATTCAGCAGCTGGTCTCACCTACTGCTTCTCGTGCCCGGAAAATCCGGAAAAGGCTGTCAGTATTCGAAAACGATTGTAGCCGGAGTAGCAGTAGAAGTCGAAGAAGCTGATATTCTAAAGGTCGGTTCGGCTTATGAAACGACGACGTGGCTTGTACGAGCAATGCTGTCACGTGTCTCGCGGCGAGCAGTCCTGTCAGAATTGATCAGTCGTTCCGCCACAGCGATGGCGATCGACGATTGGCGAATGTAGGTGAGCGAAGCGGCTGGCGAACTCAAGCAAAATCGCTTGAAAGGGACGACTAAAGCGTTGTCGTTTGACGGGGTTACAGAATTCGCCGTTTGACGAATACAGGAGAACCTTCTCAAGTTGGTTGTTTCCTAGATTCCATGACGAGAACGGCTGCCAGCAATTGGCGAATTTAGGTCTGCCAGGCGATTTCTTGAGGGGTCACGCGCCGTAGTAGTAGCCAGAAGGACCTGCATTTGAGTCGACTCAAAAGTAGCAGAAGGACCGGGTCCTGCCGTTGTAGGCATTTGAGACGTTGCGAAACGACCATTCGAGGGTATTCGTAGTAACCAGTCGAGGTGCTGCTGTTGCTGTGGAGAGGATTCTCAATTCTGCGCCTCAATTAGAGTCGAGTTTCGACCTTAGGGGGGGGGGGGGAAGGTTCAGGCACGCACCTTAGTATAAGGGCGTCGCTCATATCCTGCCGGAAAGGAGACAGTTGGAGATAGTTGAAAGACGACCCGATACCCTTCCTATGGCGGCTCATTGTCGCATTTCTCCTGGAATGAAGCCGCTGACGTGGCGGGAACTACCGTCCTTGTCCGTGCTGGTGGTGGTGCTGGCGCTTGCAGCACCGCATTGCCATGCCGCTGCCTCGTCAGTAGCAGCAGTCGCAGCAGCAGCGACAGAACCCGCAGCAGCAGCAGCAGTCCCAACAGCAACAGAAAACACAGCAGCAGTCCCAGCAGTCCCAGCAGCAGCAGCAATAGAACCCGCAGCAGTAGCAGCAGTCCCAGCAGTCCCAGCAGTCCCAGCAGCAACAGAACCCGCAGCAGTAGTATCACCACCGGCATTGTCACCACCAGCATTGTCACCACCAGCATTATCACCACCAGCATTATCACCACCAGCATTATCACCACCAGCACCACTACCATCACCATCACCACCAGCATTGTCACCAGCTGCAGCATCTGATCTTCGGCCTCTTCTCCCGACCAATCAACCATCTGCCGAGCCTTCTCTCTCCGCTCCCAAGCCTGATTCTGAACCCCTCCCAGCTCCCGAACCTGTTTCCAAGCCTGTTTCCGAGCCTTCACCTCCACCTCCCGAACCTGCTGCCGAGCCATCCCTGCCTGCACCACTACCCTCCACACCCGCCGAACCATCCCAGTCGGCACCACTGCCACCTTCTGCCGAACCATCCCTTCCTGCCCCAACTCCTCCTTCCGAACCATCTGCTGCACCACCCTCCGAACCTCCCGCCGAGCCTCCCTCCGAACCTCCTTCAGAGCCTCCTTCCGAGGCACCTGCGTTAGGCTCGGAAGAGGAGGAGGAGCCGTTGCCAGCTGTCCCCGAGCCTAGCTCAGTGGTGTGCCAGCTGGCAGACTATGTCAGGGTGTCTGGTCCCTGCCAAGGTGAGTGTTGAGTGAAGGATATCATTGCGTCGTCCTGCCAGTTTGAGCTCCCTGCCATGGTGAGGGTTGAAGAAAAGGTGAGGCGTCCTGTCAAATGCGAGTCTTCAAGGCGACGTCACAACAAGCTCTCTGCCAGTGTTCCTGCTGTCGAGCTGAGGTCCAAGGACGATTAGACAGACAGCCTAGGTCAGTGGTGTGCCATGCCAGCTGTCGGACTATGCCAGGGTGTCTGGTCTGGTCCGTGCCAAGGTGAGCTGTCAAGCGTTTAAGGGCACGTTCCTCGCCTGTGGCACACTTTTGTGGCAAGTTTTCCATCTGCCTCTTTCAACTTTCAGGATCATCCAAAATCTCCTTTCTTGCAATCGTGACCGTAAAAAAACTTGCCAAAGCTTGCCACAAAGTAGTCTGCCACAGGCGAGGAACGTGCCCTAAGGAAGGCTTTGAGTGCCCCGCCCTGTTGATGTGTCAGCCTTTGTCTGAGCTGAGGCGGCTCAAAACAAGCCTCAAGCCGATCTGAGGTCGGTCATTGGTGTGCCAGCCAGCCCTCCCAAGGTGAATGCTGAAGGTGCTTTGACTGCCGCGCCCTGTGAATGTAAGGACCTTACTCTGAGGCGCATCAAAATAAACCTCCAACAGAGCTCCACCCACCCCTCCACTCCAGGCCATGAGCTTTGCACATCATCTCCTTCCAGCGACCTTCTAATCGTGTTGAGTTGACTGTTGGTCCAGTCCAGATGCCTTTTAGTGGAACCAAGCCACTTTCTGGTTTCCTCCCTCCGCGGCCACTTTGAGTTGCTTGCCACTCCGGCCGGGCCATGAGCGGCAACTCTCCTTCAAGCAAGTGCACAACTGCAACTGCACCGACGAACCCCTTCCATTCCAACTCGACCAAGCCACTCCCAGAACCTCAAACCCCACCTCTGCCCCCACCACCCCTCCAGGTCGCGAGCGGTGGATCTCCTTCAATCGATTGCTCAACTGCACCGACCCGTGTCAGCTGGACCCAAGGCACTCCTGAAACCTCAAGCCCCACCTCTGCCCCCCCCCTCTTCCCCGCCACTCTTCCAGGCCGCGAGCGGCGGATCTCCTTCAAGAAAGTGCGCAACTGCACCGACCCCTTTCAGCTGGACCTCTCCCCGCGCCCAGAGCCCTGCGGTGAGTTGGTGGCGCCCAGAGCCTTGCGGTGAGATGAAGCAGCTGAATGCATGCTGTCTTTTGCGTCGATTGGATGCCATCGCTCTCCTTCCACCCAACTGGACCTCACCTCGTCGCCCAGAGGACCTCCCTGTGGTGCGGCGAGCTGGGCAACACAATTACCTGTATTCACTAACAGCTGAATCCGGGGAAAAGGAATGCTGCATTCTCTCGCTTTGCCTTGGCTTTGGTTGAACTCTGTCTGTGCGATGGCTTTCCCAATTATTTAGGTAGACAGTCATGTGTGCGTGCATGCTCCTTAGGGCGCATTTGTGTTTGTGTGTGTGTCTGTATGCCGTACCCAACCCACACCCCATACAGACTGCACACCATAAGACTACTTAAAGTCAGACAACCACGTGTGTGTGCAGTGCACTCGTACAGCAGACATGTGTTAATGTCTGCATGCCATGCCCATTGCCCATGACTACGCATGTATGTCATATCACTATGTGTGCCTTGCTATGTCACCTCCCCCCCCCCCCCCCTAACAGATTGCACACCGGAGGACTATGAGCGCAAGTACCTTAAGTCGGATAACGGCTCCTGCGCCCTTTCTTTCCAGCCCACCAGTAAGCGTTTACTCAACAGGCTGTATTATTCAGTTTGCACATCGTCGTGTAACTCGTACCCCTTAGTTACCGCAAATTTCTCCCTCCATTGACTCGCTATTGTCATTTGGGCCACATATATTATGTATCAGGGTATTATCAACTCGAAGTCCAGAACCCCCTAAAACCCCTGAACCCCCAAAACCGTGACCCCTTATCTCACACCATCACCAGACTGCGAAGGGGGAGACTCCAACTGGGAAGTACCAGCGGACCCCCTCTTTTGTGGTAAGTGTACTTTTTACCATACCTAGCACCACCTTGTATTATCTTATGAGTCAGGAATGCATGCTTTGTAAGAAAGAACCCCTGTTTCTTTGAGGTTACTGTGTCTCCTGCACTTATCATTGCTCACTCTTCTCTAATGCTCCCACCAACACTCGCTCAGAGTGCGGGGAAGGCACACATTCCCGGTGTCATATCGTGTGTGTGTGTGTGCATTCTCATGTGTGCATTCTCATGTGTGCATCGTGCTTGCATACGCCATGTGTGCATCGTGCTTGCATACGCCATGTGTGCATGTGCGTGTGCATGTGCATGTGCGTGTGCGTGTGCATGTGCGTGTGCATGTGCGTGTGCATGTGCGTGTGCGTGTGCATGTGCGTGTGCGTGTGCATGTGCGTGTGCGTGTGCATGTGCGTGTGCATGTACGTGTGCATGTGCGTGTGCATGTGCGTGTGCATGTGCGTGTGCATGTGGGTGTGCATGTGCATGTGCGTGTGCATGTGCGTGTGCATGTGCATGTGCGTGTGCGTGTGCATGCGCGTGTGCGTGTGCATGTGCATGTGCGTGTGCATGTGCGTGTGCGTGTGCGTGCGTGTGCATGCATATAATTTTGTGCTCCAGAGCTAGCCCCTGTGGCGTGCAGCGAGGCCAACATCCGCACCATCCATGGCAAGTGCGACTTCATCCGAGACCCAACTACCAATAAGGCTCTCAGCAAAGAGAAGACCATCCAGGCACGTGGTAGCATGCTGGCATGTGGTAACATGCCGGCACGTGGTAACATGTGGTAACATGCCGGCATGTGGTAATATGCGGTAACATGCAGGCACGTGCTGGTTACCTGGCTTACGCCAATGCTGACACGAGGTGCTACCAACACAGCTCATGTCTCCTGGTCCGTTTTATTCTTGCGCTCTCTCAGCACCACATCTCTGCACCGCATGCCAAGCTACTTTCCATTGGATTCGCCACTCCGACATCACCATCACCATCGCCATCACCACCCCATCCATCACCATTCCCATCAGGTGATTTACTACTTTGACAGCGGTTGCAACCCCACGGCACATGGCTCAGTGCCGCTGCCATCGCCTGGATACATCCCCTGCGGTATGTGCTATGCTGGGAGCGATGTGTCAAAACCTCTCTTAGTCAACTCAAAGAGCACATGGCTCAGTGCCGCTGCCATCGCCTGGATGCATCCCCTGCTGCGGTATGTGCTATGCTGCGGTATGTACTACTGTGTACGTATGTCGTTCTGAAGCGCTTTCATGTCCACCCCACGCCACATGGCTCTGTCTGTGCGGCTTCCATCCCCCGGATCCATCCCCTGCTGCGGTATGTACCACGCGTGATGTTTCAAAACCCTTTCATGTCAACTCTACGAGCACATGGCCATGTGTGCCGCTGCCATCGCCTGGATGCATGCATCCCCTGTGGTATGCACTATGTATGAGTCGGTTGCCGACGCACATACATAACATATGGGTGTGGGTGGGGTAGGGTGTAGACCCCGTGCGGTATGTGCTCTGTATGAGCACATTTAACGCACACACACACATATATGGGTGTGGGTGGGGCGAACCTTTGGAGATGGATGGAGGTGATCTTGAGAATTCTCAAAAACACCCTTCAAAATCAAGGACCGGATTATGAGATATTACTGCACTACCATCGCCCGGATACATACATCCCCTGCGGTATGCAGTGTGTGTGTGTGTGTGTGTGTGTGTGAGCAGTGTTGAACCCTATGTTGCTGCCACATTTCGACACAATGGCACCAAATTGGTGTTCCATAAGATATCCCCTGGGCGGTATGTACTGTGTATGAGCACGCCCCAGTACGCTGTTTGGAGTGATCTCTGAGGCGCTTCAACTAAGGGGCGCCAAAAAGTTCGCCAGCTTATATATACCCCATCCCATGCGGTATGTCCTTTGTGTGAGCTAGTCCATCCGGCCCTTCTCTTTCTGCAAATGTTTCCCACATCCCCATGGGTCTCCCCAAACCTGTCTACTCCCCCGACCGAATTGTTGAGATCACGTCATGAGACGTTAGCCAGCATTCATCATGTAGCGATCACGCCTTGTTCCAAACAATGACCTGTCTGCCTTGACTTGAGAAAAGACTTTCCTGTCTGCCGTCCTACCCTTTGTGGGAGACATTTGAGACGACTCAAAAGTCACCTCTTGACTTGAGAAATACCTGTCTGTCGGTCGTCCTACCCTTTGTGGGAGACACTAGGAGACGGTTCAACTCCCTTCCATCCTCCCATCCCCCTCCATGCCATTTTTCCCGCCCTTTCACCTTTTCACGGATATGACCTGTCCTGCTGGTTCCAACCTGCATGGCGACAAGTGCCACAAGTGCAAGCCCAGCACCTGCAGTATGGGGAAAGGTCACCCGAAAGACCTCTCTCCCCTGTCCCCCACCCTCTACAGATATGACCTACCTGCAAAGCAACAGATGCCGCAAGTGCAAGCCCGGCACCTACAGCATGGGGGGACAGAACACCCTATATACCTCTCCCTTTCCCCCCTCCCTCCACAGATATGACCTGTCCTGCTGGTTCCTACCTGCATGGAGACAAGTGCCGCAAGTGCAAGCCCGGCACCTACAGCATGGGGGGAGGGATTCGCTTCGACGCTTTCTATGAGCTTGATGATAGGTTATTCCGGGTAGGTTGAGCAGTGCAATGGTTGTTACTTGTGAGTTAACTCAAGTGACATCTTTTGAGGCGCCTCAAAAAGCATGGGGGAAGGGATTCGCTTCGACGCTTTCTATGAGCTTGACGACCGATTATTCCAGGTAGGACGGGTTGGTTGGTGGTACAGTGGTTGATAACCAGGTCCAGGAGCATCAAAACGCATACGGCTTTCAGTGGACCCAAGCATGGGGATCTGGAATCTGATCAACTGCAAACTCGGATTGTGTGAGACTGCTCATCAAATCTCTTTTCAAAATGTGGGTTATGCTCTGCTTTGTTTCGTTTTGTTCCTACAAAGCACGCTGTTTGCGTGGATGCTCCTCCCCCCTCCCCCCTGCATGCCTCCCTCCCCCCCTCACCTTACCAGACGGATTGCACCCATTCCAACTCTTCCGGCTCATTCAAGTGCGACGGGTAGGACTCAAGCCATACCCAAGCGTGCCCTTGCCAGACAGTCTGCACCCTTCTTCACTTATCCTTCGTGTAGATCCACACTATTTGTGCATGCAACTTGCAAGCAAGCTGTTACATGTGTAACATTGGGCTTTCTGTGACGTCTCAAATCCCGACTTCTTCGCATAAACCTCTTTTGCTTTTTGAGAATTCTCAAATCCCAACTTCTTCACATGAACCTCATTCTCAAGCACCTCCATATTTAGTGTCTGGGGGATGCACCTTACCCATAATTCATTCTTGTCCATCCCAGAACCAGTCGCTTGGCCAGTACTCCATTTTTTAAATTTTATTTTTTTGGTGCTCTTGTTCAAACTTCTGTGGCTCACTTTGATGTTTTTCCAGCATGTCTCCACTGTCTTCATGACAAAATGGCCCCTTTTTTTTTCTACGTTTTTTCCCCTCAGCTGGTATGCGTCGGAGGGTCAGCTCAAAGTTGGCCCATACGACCCGCCCAATGACTGGTACCCCGTAAGCTCATGCCTCTCCTCTCCGCTCCTCATACTCGTTCATGCCCTATATCGCATGTTTGGGTTCACTGCCACAACAACCCTCCATATCTCCCTTGTCTTCCCTGCACATCCCTTGCCTCAACTCCCCTAACCTATCACAAGGACGATTGTCTGCTGAGCTAATGCAACTGGATATGGTTGTTGACTCGTACCGCGTCTCCCCACTCACGTTGGCAGTCTATTTTTGAGGCGCCTCAAAAATAGACTCCTGAGCTAATGCAACTGGATATGGTTGTTGACTCATGTACCGCGTCTCCCCACTCACGTTGGTTTGCTTCCCCAGGACGACTGCTCCTTGGGATCCTACAACTGCCACAACAATCTGCGCTCGTCGCTGCGCATGCAAGTTGAATTGATTCGATGGGGGTGAGTGATCGTTCCACAGCTCCTTAAGGGGACATGACATGACGTGTGCATTCTTTACGGTAGGTAGTGATTGATGCTCTCTTGCTTCCTGCTGGCTTGTCCCTCTTCTTCCCCCTCCACCTCCCCTTACATACTCCCCCTTCCTCTCTCCTCCCCACTCCTCCCCTCCCCTCCCCTATCCCTTCACTCCTCTCCCCTCCCCCTTCCCCCCCACCCTGTCTCCCCCCTCTCGCAGCTACATCCAGTATCGCTTCACAGTGAAAACGGAGCACAAGTTCGGCGGGCTGCTTCTCTTCCTCCTCTCCTCTGTTCCCTTCACTCCTCTCCCCTCCACTCCACTCCTATCCCTTCCCTCCTATCCCTTCACTCCTCTCCCCTCCACTCCACTCCTATCCCTTCCCTCCTATCCCTTCACTCCTCTCCCCTCCCCCTTCCCTGCCACCCTGTCCCCCCCCCCTTGCAGCTACATCCGGTATCGCTTCACACAGTGAGCGCAGAGCACAAGTTCGGCAGGCTGCACTTGTTCCTCTGCTCCTCTGCATCCCTTGACTCTACTTCCCTCATTCCTCACTCTTCCCCCTCCCTTTACCATCGAAGCTACATCCGGTGTCGCTTCAGAGTGAGCGCCGACGGGCTGCTCTTCTTCCTTGACTCCTCTGCATCCCTTGACTCTACTTCCCTTATTCCTCACTCTCCCCCCTTTTACCATTGCAGCTACATCCGGTATCGCTTCACAGTGAGTGCGGAGCACAAGTTTGACGGGCTGCTCTTCTTCCTTGACTCATCACCAGAGCCCGTTATGGGGCTGGAGTCCAACCAGGTAGGTAGGGTGTGTTTTTCTTTCTTTTCTGTTCTTTTGTTTCCGGAGAAACAATGATAAAACCCTTGTCATGAAACTTTAGGGTTTGTCGGGAGTCTTCGACCCAGGGTTCTACCAAGTTTTCTTGACAATGGAAGAGTTCACAGCACTGTTGCCCGACCCTTTCCTCTTCCCCTTTCCCCCCCTTCCGCCCTTCCCTCCCTCCCCTACCCATCCCGATTCGACCCCATGGATGCGCACATACTACCAGGAAACCCAGGCGTGCGTGCACACAGTGATGCCTTCTTGAGCCCACCTAGTAGTCTTCTGTTTCCTTGCCAGTCAATTCCCAATGCACACAAGTCCGCTCTCTCCTCCACCTATCCCAGTTCGTTTCGGTCCCATGGAGGTGCTGCAGAGCAGATAATGCTGGAGCCAGGTGTGCGTGCCTTTTGGTTTGACTCAAAAGCACCCTCGTTTCTTGAGTCGAATCTTAAGAGGGTACACCCACAACCTCCCTTTCTCTTTTTTCCTCCTCCCAGTTTGATCCCATGGAAGTACAGATAATGCTGGAGCCAGGCGTGCACACATTGGAGTGGGTGTATTACAAAGACTCCAAGTGGACCAAGGGGAGAGACACAGCTGCGCTGCATGTAAGAAGAACACCTTGTAGCCTAGGATAACACGAGACTGGGCTTTAAGGTGGCTCAAGCACACTCTCAAGGACGAGCCAGGGGTGCACGCACACATTGGAGTGGGTGTATTAGAAGGACTCCAAGTGGACCAAGGGGAGGGATACTGCTGCTCTACATGTATGTGTGTTGTGAGGTTTGGGATACTGCCGGACGAGAGCTTTAATTTGAGGTGGGGGCCGCACAGTGCACACACTAGAATGGGTGTATTACAAGGACTCTCAGTGGACCAAGGGAGAGATAATGCCGTCCTGCACGTGAGTGTATCGTGGCATTTAGGGCACACCTGGAAGAGGGCTTTCAGGCGTGCACACTCTGGAGTGAGTGTATTGCAAGGACTCGAAATGGACCAAGGGGAGAGACAGTGCCGCCTTGCACATGAGTGTAACGTGGTGTTTAAAGTACACACAGTGGAGTGGGGCTTTAAGGCCTGCACACGCTGGTTGGAGTGGGTGTAGTACAATGACTCCGAGTGGACCAAGGGCCGACTTGCATGTCAGACTTGCCGGTGGTAAGGCAATCGTCTGAATGAGCCCATCTGTGAGTGATTCTTGAGTCGACTAAAAAATCACCTTTGGAGTCGACTAAAAAATCACCTTTTGAGTCGACTAAAAAATCACCTTTTGAGTCGACTAAAAAATCACCTTTTGGGTCGACTCAAAATCCCTTGTAGTACAATGCCTCCAATCCAAGTAGACCAAGGGCCAACTTGCATGTAAGGCGATGCCGATGTGAGTTACCACGTCTGACTGAGCCCATCTGACCAATGCGAGTTTGTTGCTGGGATTTGTTTCCATGTCCAAATACTGGGTGGGTGGATGTAGAGCAGTCGTTTTAAATTCCCCCCCCGTGCCCTGCTCTGCTCCCCATACCCGCCCCTCCCTGCCTGCTTGCCTTCCTGCCACACCACCTACCTCACCTGCCCCTGCGACTGCAGCTCATAGAGGTGGATGGCATTGACTACACCGACAGGCAGTGCTTCCCGTGCCAAGCAGGGTTCTACAGGTGAGAGAAGCTGGGGGCAGGGGGCAGTGGGCTCCCCAAGGCATAGTGTGTGGATGGGTCAGGCAGACGGCCATCTGCCATAGCGGCTAATTGAGGTGGATGGCATTGACTACACCGACCGACAGTGCTTCCCTTGCCAAGAAGGGTTCTACAGGTGAGTGCAACGGCATGCCCAGTTCTTGGTTCGGCGACTCTACAGCATCGGTGGCCTACCTAGCCCCACAAGCATCTCATCTCAGGAATCATACTTAAAACCAGACTAAACGTTTCACCCGGCGTTTCTCTGCTTATTTGGCCAGGCCAGGCCATGCCATGCCAGGCCAAGCGATGCCATGCCATGTTCTGGGTGCCTTTGTGCGTCACATGCCCCTCGAGACAGACATAAATTCTGCACAACAAGGGCTGCGTCACGTGGCTATCATAAGCCTCAAAGTGCCCTGCCTTGCTGTAAATCCATCTCCCCTTCTTGCCCTGCTTTCCGCTATTTGTTTTCATTCCTCTGCTTCAATTTTATCGCAGCGAGGAGGGCTCTAGTGAGTGCGCGGCATGCCCTGTGGACCACTACTCCCAGTGAGTCCCAGTGATGGTGGTAGTGGTGTTGGTGAATTTAACATACACTACTGAGTTTCTCCTCGGTGATGGTGATGGTGATGGTGATGGTGGTGGTGGTGGTGAGGTGATGGTGATGGTGATGGTGGTGGTGGTGGTGATGATGATGGTGATGGTGATGGTGGTGGTGATGGTGGTGGTGATGGTGCTTGTGTCGTGGTGGGTCTATCATAGTAACACACATGTGACCCCATCTGCCCATGCCAGGGAGGGCTGGCCAGAGTGCAAGCCATGCAATGCTGACCAGTACGCGCAGACGCCGCCTCTAGCCAACTGCACTGCCAGGCTCCGTATGTGCGCTGCATATTATCTATGTGACTCTACTTCTCCTATGCTTCTTTCCCTACTCCTCCTCCTTCACTCTCCACCTCCATCCCTTACTTTCCATTCTACAATTGAGCCTGCTGCTGCCACTGAATCATCTATTTCCCTGCTCCTCCTCCTCCTGCTCTCTCCACCACCCTCCCTTCCCCCTCTCCCCTGCTTTCTCCTGCTCTTTCCAATATACCATTGAGCCTGCTGGTGATTTTTGAGTCGATTCAAAAATTGCCATTCAGCCTGCTGCTGCCGCTCAACCTTCTCCGCTCTCCCTTCCCTTCTCCTCTCCCACGTCGACAACTCACCAGCGTGCAACGTGACAACGGATGCCGCCCCTACCTATGGCAACTGTAGTGCGGAGGACAACCAGAGGATAAAGGTGGGATGCGGGATTTGGAGGAACAGAAACGGGAGATGAAAGGGAGACGAAATGGGAGTTGTTTGCAGCGAGATGTTCTAGGTAGAGGGTTGAAAAGATTGTACCCTCATGGTAGAGGGGTGGCAGAGTTAAGCTGGGGCATGCCTCGCCTCCTTTGCACTCTGCACGCCCCCTCTCATCGTCTCACCTCGCATCATACTCCTCCACTCCCTCCTTCCCTCCCCCTCCTTTCCCCTCCCCCTCCTTTCCCCTCCCCCTCCTCTCCCCCCCCTTCCCTTCCCCCCCCGGAACCTGGGGAGTGGTTCACCCCGCACATCCGCATGCCCCTCACATCAACTCACTTCACATCGTACCCCTCTTCTCCTTTCTCCCTCTTGCCCTTCCCCTTTCTCCGCCACTTCTTCCTCCAGACCTGGTCGTGGCTCACTCCCCACATCTGCATGCCCCTCTCAGTCATGCACCTTTCACCACTTCATATCCCACCTCCCCCACCCCACTTCCCCCTTCCTCCAGACCTGGGCATGGCTCACTCCCCACATCTGCATGCCCCTCTCAGCGGACAACGACCTTCCTGATGACACCCGCGAGCCATGCCGTGAGTGCTGGAATGCATGCATGCAGCATGCCTCCATGCGTGCCTCCATGCCTGCCTCCATGCGTGCCTCTATGCGTGCCTCCATGCATGCCTCTTCCCCGTGCTTCCTCGTGGATGCCTCCATGCATGTGCCACGGCTTACAGCCCCATGCTCTTTGGGCCAGACAGCACCACTCTCACCAGAACCTCCTTTCCTACAATGCATGCTCAGCTCAATGCATGCCCCATGCATGCCCCATGCACGTCTCCATGCACGTCTCCATGCACGTCTCCATGCATTCCCCCGTGCTTTCCCCCGTGCATTCCCCCGTGCATGCCCCCACCGATGCCCCCATGTCCATTGCAGCCCCATGCCCCTCGGGTCAATACGCCGTGGAGGACAGCACCACTCGCACCAGACTCTGCCGCTTCTGCCCAGAGGTAAGCCCGGCGCTGCTCTCTCTGTGGTGACTTTGGAGCCAACTCAACGGCCACCGGAGGTTAGCCCGGCGCTGGTGCTGCAGCCATACCACCAATGCTTGGATTAAGTTGCTTCAAAAGAAAACAACACCGGTCGTACCAGTCTCTGCCGCTTCTGCCCAGAGGTAAGTCCGGCCATGGCATTGCAGTTGCTGTCTTACCAGCAATGCTTTGAGTCGTTTCAAAGGTTGACACCACCATTCGCACCAGACTTTGCCAAGATAGCAGGGCCAGGCCCTGGTTAAGCAGAGGTAAGCCCAGCCCTGCCCTCTCTGTGGCGACTTTGGAGTCAACTCAACGGCCACCAGAGGTATTCCTGGCTGTGCTGCGGTGGACTCAACAACCGGCTGTGCAGCGCTGTATCTCTTATAATTTCCACCAGTCGTGCTCTCCCTCGGCAGGGCTGGCCTCGTTCGCAAGGCATCTCTCACCACCGCACACAAGGCGTGTCACAAGTGCTCTCTGGGAAAGGTGACAGGCAGTGACGGCCCTCACCGCCATGGGCAATTTCCACCTCCTTTCCCATGCGGGGGGAAAGTTGGGTTCGATCCTGCATGGGCCCTCACCGCCACGGGCCATTTCCACCTCCTTTCCGATGCGCCCGTGTGCTCTCCCCCAATGCCCGTGCACCAACAGGACTTGGCTAGGAATGCCTCTCTCTCCGCCACAGACAAGTCGTGCCACAAGTGTCTTCCTGGGGAGGTGGCAGGCAAAGCTCTGACCATGGATGGATGGACCACTGTTTCTTCCCCGTTTAGCCTCAACCCCATTTACATCAGCCCATCACAGGGCCTGGCATGGAACGCCTCTGTGTCCGGGAAGGCGTGTCACAAGTGGTCTCCAGGCGAGAAAGCAGTCTAACCCTGACTATGGACTATTTCGAGCTTCACTCATTTCCATACGCCCTGCCTGCCTCCCGCCATCGTTATCACAGGGCCTGGCACGAAATGCCTCTGTCCCCCCCATCGACAAGGCGTGCCACAAGAGCCCTCGGAGGGAGGTAGCAGTGAAGACCCTCACCATGGACCATTTCGAGCTGCTTCTTTCCCATACGCCCTTGCTATCCCCCCGCCCCTTCCCCCTCCTCCTCCCCCCCCCCCCCCCGCCATCACAGGGCCTGGCACGGAACGCCTCTGGCATGCCACAAGTGCCCACTGGGGGAGGTGGCAGTGAAGGCTCTGACCAGTGAACATGGATCATTTCGAGATTCGCTCGTTCCCGTATGCTCTTCCTATCCCCCTTCCCCCTCCCACCTCCCCTTACCACCACAGGGCCTGGCACGAAACGCCTCTGTGTCCCCCATGGATAAGGCGTGCCCCAAGTGCCCCTAGGGGAAAGACAGTGAAGGCACTGACCACCATTGGCCATACTGCCTTTCCGTGCATCTTCCGCTATGATCTCCTTACCACAGGGCCTGGCTCGAAACGCCTCTGTCTCCCCCACAGACAAGGCGTGCCACAATTGCCCTTCTGAATAGGTAGCTGTGAAGGCCCTCACCATGGACCATTTTGAGCTTCGTTCGTTCCCATACGCCCTTCCTAACCCCCCCCCTCCCCCGCCCTTCACCCCCATCACAGGGCCTGGCACGCAATGCCTCTGTCTCCCCCACAGACAAGGCGTGCCACAAGTGCCCCCCGGGGGAGGTGGCAGTGAAGGCCCTCACCATGGACCTTTTCTGGCTCCTTCTTTCCAACACGTCCTTCCTATCCCCCCTCCCCCACCACCTCCCCTTACCATCACACGGTTTGGCTAGAAACGCCTCTGTCTCCCCCACGGACAAGGCGTGCCACAAGTGCCCCCCGGGGGAGGTGGCAGTAAAGGCTCTGACCGCGTGGACCATACTGCCCCTCCTTGCTCCTTCCACTATGCTCTCCTTACCACAGGGCCTGGCGCGCAATGCATCTCTCTCTCCCACCGACAAGGCGTGCCACTGGTGCCCCCCGGAGGAGGTAGCAGTGAAGGCTCTGACTATGGACCATTTCGAGCTGCTTCTTTCCAATACGCCCTTCCTATCCCCCCTCGCTCACCCACCTCCCCTTACCACCACAGGGCTTGGCACGAAACGCCTCTGTCTCCCTCACTGACAAGGCATGCCACAAGTGCCCCCCGGGGGAGGTGGCAGTGAAGGCTTTAACAATGGACCATTTCGAGTTGCACAAGGGGAAGCTTCCTGATGGCTTCGTGACGGGTTGCAGCGGCGAGTGCGGTTCCCTGGGGTGGAGAGTGGTGAACGGAAAGCTGGACTCAGGGAGCAACCACGGCAAGAGTGCCTCTGTAAGATGTGATTATTGAATGGTGACTATACAGGGGGGTGTGGGGGGGGGGGGGTGTGGACAAGGTTGAATGCCAATAGGAGAGGTACTGGGGGCTCGTTGGGGTTGATTGTGTACCTAGGGGGGTGACTGTGGGTTCTCTGGGGTGGAGAGTGGTGAATGGGAAGCTGGACTCTGGGAGCAACCATGGCAAGAGTCCTTCAGTGAGCATTGAATCAGGGAAGGGTGGGGAATAGGGGGATGGGGGGATGGGAGGGGGGGGGGGGACGATGTCTCAGGGTGGAGAGCGGTGAGTGGAAGCTGGGAGCAACTATGGGGAGAGTACTTCTGTAAGATGAGACTATGCCATGTGTGTGAGAAACTGTGGAGGAAGGGGAGTAGGAGGAGGTGGTAAGAAGATCATAGCGGAAGATGCACGGAAAGGCAGTATGGCCCAAGGTCAGTGCCTTCACTGCCTTTCCGTGCATCTTCCGCTATGATCTCCTTACCACAGGGCCTGCGGGAGGAGGAAGGGGAGTAGGAGGAGGTGGAGGGTGGTGGAGGGTGCGGGTGCGGCTGCTGATGCGGCTGCTTCGGCTGATTGGGGGGGGGATGCGGCTGCTGCTGTTGGTGGGGAAGGAGGAGAGGAAGAGAGGGAGGAAGGGGGGGAGGAGGAGAGGAAGGGAGGGAGGAAAGGGGGGGAGGAGGAGAGGAAGGGAGGGAGGAAGGGGGGAGGAGGAGAAAGGCGGGTGCGCGGAGCGCAGCTCTTAAGTCGCCGTAGCGCGGATGGTGACGGTTGAACGCTGCGGACAGTTGCGTGCGGTGCGCGCCTGCACAGAGGTCAGCCCGGCCGAATCCCGCTTGTTAGGCGGGGGCGCCGGGACTGCACAAAGGGGGAGGAGGCGTCGGAGTGCGGAGGAGACAGCGTGTCGAATTATGGCGGGAGGGCCGCGTCAAGATGGTGCGGGAGTGCCGCGTCGAATTGCAGCGGAGCGTCGCGCCAAAATGCGGCCGAGCGCCGCGTCGAAATGCGGCCGAGCGCCGCGTCGAAATGCGGCCGAGCGCCGCGTCGAAATGCGACCGAGCGCCGCGTCGAAATGCGGCCGAGCGCCACGTCGAAATGCGGCCGAGCGCCGCATCGAAATGCGGCCAAGCGCCGCGTCGAAATGCGGCCGAGCGCCGCGTCGAAATGCGGCAGGAGCGCCGCGCAAAAACGCAGTGACTAAGGGCGCGAGGAGGGGCGCTTAAGGGCGCGGGGAGGGGCGCATAAGGGCGCGAGGAGGGGCGCTTAAGGGCGCAGGGAGGGGTGCTAAAAAGGCGCGGAGAGGGGCGCTTAAGGGCGCGGGGAGAAGCGCGTTGGGCGCGAGGTGGGTATGGATCGAACGAAGAGGCGTGAGCCATATGCTCTGAAACCATGTGAGAAACTGAAGTCATGATAGTATTAAGAAAAGAGTGGGTATACATAGGTGAGGAGTAGGAGGGGGGGTTTGGTTGGGAGGTGACCACGATTATTGGGGACCCCAATAAGTTGAGTTGGCCAACTTATTGGGGGTCCAATAATCCTAGCCAAGATTATTGGTGGGTCCAATAATCTTGGTTGGGATTATTGGGGGTTCCAATAATTGGGAGCCCAACCAATTTGGGAACCCAACAAGGTTGGGAACCCAACCCCCAACTTGGGTGTATACACCCTAGTGGGATGCTTATAAGTACCTAAGACAATGAAACGATGTAGGCTAATAGAATGAAGGGAGAACATTCTAACAATGTGCTTTTGTGGGATGAGATGAGACTATGCCATGTGCTTTTGTGGGATGAGACTATGCCATGTGCTTTTGTGGGAAGAGACTATGCCATGTGCTTTTGTGGGATGAGACTATGCCATGTGCTTTTGTGGGATGAGACTATGCCATGTGCTTTTGTGGGAAGAGACTATGCCATGTGCTTTTGTGGGATGAGACTATGCCATGTGCTTTTGTGGGATGAGACTATGCCATGTGCTTTTGTGGGAAGAGACTATGCCATGTGCTTTTGTGGGATGAGACTATGCCATGTGCTTTTGTGGGATGAGACTATGCCATGTGCTTTTGTGGGATGAGACTATGCCATGTGCTTTTGTGGGAAGAGACTATGCCTTGTGCTTTTGTGGGATGAGACTATGCCATGTGCTTTTGTGGGATGAGACTATGCCATGTGCTTTTGTGGGAAGAGACTATGCCATGTGCTTTTGTGGGATGAGACTATGCCATGTGCTTTTGTGGGATGAGACTATGCCATGTGCTTTTGTGGGATGAGACTATGCCATGTGCTTTTGTGGGAAGAGACTATGCCATGTGCTTCTGTGGGATGAGACTATGCCATGTGCTTTTGTGGGATGAGACTATGCCATGTGCTTTTGTGGGATGAGACTATGCCATGTGCTTTTGTGGGATGAGACTATGCCATGTGCTTTTGTGGGATGAGACTATGCCATGTGCTTTGGTGGGATGAGACTATGCCATGTGCTTTTGTGGGATGCCCCATCCGAATTTTGAAGAGACTTAAGAAGCAGGCTGGCATGTGTGCAGGCAGGGGAGCTGTTATGACCATCTCTGACTTGAGAAGTAGACTGCCATGCATGCATGTCCCATCCCATCCGTTTCCCATCCCATGCTCACCTCCCATCTCTTCTCCTGCAGGTGTGGCTGTCCTATGACGTCAGCATGGCCGTGGATGGGCATGTGACGTTCGCCTACGAATCTACAATGTGGACATACGAGGAGAGGGAACTTGAAGAGGGGGGCTGTTCTCTGCTCTTTCTTCACCTTCATCACGTTTCTAGCTGTTCCACTGTTCCACTGCACCTCTTAATAACCTCCCCTCCTTTCACCCCCACACACCTCCATCCGTCCTCGCCCTTCTCCCATCTCTTCACACTCTCCTCCCCTCCTCTCCAGGTGTGGCTGTCCTATGACGTCAGCATGGCCGTGGATGGGCATTTGACATTCGCTTACGATGTGGACATACCGAGGGGCGACCTGCAGAGGGGGCTGTTCTTCTACATCGATGATGACCTGGTCGAGAATATCGAGGTGAGGGAGGTGCCTATGGGCCACGATTGAGTGAAAGCTTATATAGGCCATCTGTACAACCACCTGCAGAGGGGGCTGTTCTTCTGCATCGATGATGACTTGGTCGAGAATATCGAGGTGAGGAACAGCCCCCTGACTGACATACATGTGTTCTGCACCATAGTAACCTGCACACACATCAGCCTGCAGGGGGGGCTGTTCTCATTGATGATGACCTGGTGGAGAATATCGAGGTGAGGGATTTGCCTAAGGCTTTCAGTTTAAGGCAATGTGCACATGGACCTGCAGAGGGGACTGTTCTTCTTCGTTGATGATGTGGTGGAGACCATGGAGGTGAGTCAACTTAAATCCATGTGGATATTGAGTCGATCCCAGTGCAATCTGCTAGGCATAGTTAAAATGCGACGCGATATAATATCGCATAGCATTTCTCCATATCGCATCTTATATCGCGCGATACCATAACGCATCGCTGCGATATTTTTTTCCAGAAATCTGATATCGCACATCACTTTTTAGGTGCAAATTTGAAATATAGCGCAAAAATATCGCTATATATCGCGCTATGCGATCTAATATCGCATCGAATTTAAAAGTATGGTCTAAATGCGGTTTTCACGCCCTAAGAAAGGGCATGCGATATTGAAATATCGACGCGATATAAAACATCGCATGCGATGATAAAATATCGCATATCGCCTTATATCGCTGGGGCATGACGGCGATGTAAATGCGATAAAAATATATATCACGCGATATAAATCGCATCGCAAAGCGCGATATTTAAACCGAAACACAAAATATCGCTATCGCATTTTTGCGATATAAGCGATGCGATGCGATGCAATATAGCCATATCTACAATCCGCACACACATCGACCTGCAGAGGGGGCTGTTCTTCTATATTGATGATGATCTGGCGGAGAGCATCGAGGTGAGGGAGGTTCAACCTAGTCGAATGAATGGCCCATATGCACCCACTAAGCCGTCTAGCGGCTGGCACCAGTCGTCCTAGCAGCCCGGCAATCGATATCCAAAGTGCCAGTCGACCATGGATAGTGCGACCTGGCTATTACAGTCTGATATGATCTGGGCCACTCACGTTAAATTTCCCATCTCCATCCCTCCTTCCCTCCCTCCCTCCCTCCCTCCCTCCCTCCCTCCCTCCCTCCCTTCTCAGGATGAGGCAGGCGTTGCCTCAGCGCCAGCCGGCCCGTCAACCAGCGACACCTGGCGGCTGCCAGCTGGCAGCCACAGCCTGATGTGGATCTGGGTGACGCTCAACGCTGACAAGGCGATCGCCAATCGGGACTCCGCTGAGATCCTCGACATTGCGGTGTGGGGCAGCACGCTGGGGGGAGCGCCTGCCTGTGTGCCCATTCCAGCAGGGACAGCCCCGGACCCCACCACCCACACCTGGAAGCCTTGTCCTCCTGGTATATCCTCCCCTGCCTGTTACTGCATGCTGAATCCCTGTGCTGAGATCCTTGACATCGCAGTGTGGGGCAGCACAGTTGGGGGAGCGCCTGCCTGTGTGCCCATTCCAGCAGGGACGGCCCCAGACCCCACCACCCACACCTGGAAACGCTGCCCCTCTGGTGATCCGATGCCCCCCTCCTCGATGTAATGCGTCCTCTCTCCTTCTCTTCCCTCCCGGCCCGGACACCTGGAAGCCCTGCCTGCGACTGTGGTTGATTTGATTTACGATTGGGATTCTAAACACCGTTGATTGTGGCTGTGGTTGTGACTGTATGAGCAGGGCAGTACAGCGAGGGGGCAGGTCTACCTTGTGTCAAATGCCCTGCCAACACCTTCAACCCTAAACCCAAGGTAATCCCTCGTCTCTCCTCTCTCGAGGTGCCTCAGAACTCACCGTCAACCGTAAACCCGCAATAAAGCAAGGGGATTCTACCTTGTGTCAAATGCCCTGCCAACACCTTCAACCCTGAACCCCAGGTGAACGCAGCTTATGGAGGAACACAGTCACATCCACAGCCACAGCCGCAGCCGCAGCCGCAGCCACAGCCACAGCCACAGTTTATCGAGTTCCTTTTGGAGTTCCGTCCAACTCCATATCATCTCTCCAACACAGCTTATTTCTCGATTTTCTCCCTTTCTACCAAGGAACCCATGCCACACGTTCCAGTCTTTCTTGTGGCACAGGCACCTAATCTCTCGCCACCTGTGCCTTCAGTTCCATGCCATGAGTCTCTTTATTCTCATCCGCCCTTCTAGCTATTGTTTTGAGTCAACTCAAAATACTCAGGCACCTCGTTTCTCGCCACATGGCTTCCATGCCATGGTTTTTGGGAATTCTAAAAAAGTCTGACACGTCCATGCCATGATTCACTTTAATCGCATCCCCCCTTATTTGTTTTCTGATCCCACGACCCTTCCCTCCCCACCAGGGCACCCACTCTCCCCGCCTGCCCTGTGGCCCCGGCACCTGTTCCCTCCCCGGCAGCACAGCTTCTCGTTCTTTTTCCTCTTTGATTTCCTCACAAGCGCCTTCCTTCCCTCACCCCCCCCCCTCATTCCAGGGCACCCATTCCTCCTGCCTGCCCTGTGGCACCGGCACCTCATCCCTCCCCGGCAGTTTTTGCCCTTCATTCTCTACTCTTTGCTTCCCCACACCCTCCCCCCTTTCACTCCAGGGCTCCCACTCCTGCCTCCCCTGTGGCCCCGTCACCTCATCTCTCCCTGGCAGCACAGCTTCACACTCTCTGCTCTTCGTTTCTCTTCACATACTCCCCTTCACTCCCTCCAGGGCACTCATTCCTCCTGCCTGCCCTGTGGCCCCGGCACGTCATCTCTCCCCAGCAGCACTGCCTCTCACTCTCTGCTCCTGTTTTGAGACGTCTCGAGCCCCTTAGTCTCTGCTCTTTGTTTCTCTTCACATACTCCCCTTCACTCCCTCCAGGGCACTCATTCCTCCTGCCTCCCTTGTGGACCTGGCACCTCATCTCTCCCTGGCAGCACTGCCTGCACTGTTGGTGACGTCACTGTCGCCTCCTCCTTCTGCACATTCCAAGTAGCTTCCGAACCACCCACCAGCAACAGCGCTACCAGCAGCACTAGCAGCAGCGCAAACAGCAGCAGCAGCAGCACCAACACTAGTGATACTAACACCCCCACAACCCCCCCCACCAGCACTACCACCACCGCTACCACTACCACTCCCTCACCCTCCTCCCCTCCCATCGTGTATGATCTCTCCCCTCTCTCGCGCCTACATCCTGGCCGCATGTTCGGGCCGATCTTCGAGGATCCAACGGTTGCGGATCGCCAGCATGGGCCACTGTACTTCGTGTCTGTGTGTGTGACGCCAGGAGAGAACGTAGAGGGCATAGAAGGAGAGGGGGAGGACAGGGAAAGAGGGAAAGGAGGGCAAAACACAGGAGGCGGGCACAATATGGAGGAGGGGGGTGGTGAGGAAGGCAAGGAGGGGAAGAAGGGGGAGGGAGGGGCTTTGGAGTGCACGGATTCTGAGGGGAAGCCCATAGCCACCATGGCATGTCGGGTGCGTTTTGAGTCAACTTATATGATAATACGCTTATTGCACTTCATTACATGCTCGTTGTTGGCTCAAAATAATATGTTTTCGTCGCTCTTATATCAAATTATGCCTGTGCACTAACACCCTGTACCCGAGATAGTTCCCACAAGAGACTCCCATCCTTCCCTCTCTCTCCCCCCTTACTCCCCCCATAACCCTTTTCTATTGCCCTCTGTTGTGCTCAGGTGAATCCTCAGGTGTTGTTGGACGAGCAGCACCGTGCATCCCAGTCTAGGCGACAGAGCCTCACTCTCCATCCCCCATTTCCTTTCTGATGCATGCTGTTTTTTTTTCATTTTCCCCCTCAGGTGAATCCTCAGGTGATGTTGGACGAGCAGCACTGAACCTCCCACAGTCTCGGCGACAGAGTCTCCCTCTTCCCCCTCTCCCACCCCCTCACTCACCCTCCGGTGCCTGCTGGGCCAGCCCAAAATGCTTCTGACCCCCTCTCCCACCTCCCAGGCCCCCTGTTGGCGCAGAGGGGGCTGGTGATGATGCTCGAAGAGGAGAGGTGAAACGAGCATCTCAATCCTTCCACGCCCTTCTCCCCTTTCTCTGTTGCTCTCAGGTGAATCCTCAGGTGATGTTGGACGAGCAGCACCGTCCTTCCCACAGCTTAGGAGATAGGGTATCCCTCCGAGCCCTCTCTTACCCCCTCTCCCGCCTCCCAGACCCCCTGCTGGCGCGGAGGGGGCTGGAGATGGTGCTGGAAGGGGAAAGATGCCCGTTCTCTGGGCAGGGAGGGGGCGGGAGGGAGAGTAGCTGGGGGATGGGGGACGATGGGGAGAAGGAGAAGGGGAAGGGGAAGGGGAAGGGGGACGGGATGGAGGAGAAGTATGGGAGGCTGGCGATTACCTTCATCTGTGACCCGAATGCAGGTGAGAGGAGGAGAGGAGAAGGTAAGTGACCTGAACCCCTTTCAGACCCCTAGCTCCCAGACCCCCTGTTGGCGCGGAGGGGGCTGGTGATGATGCTGGAAGGGGAGACGTGCCCCTTCTTGGGGAAGGGAAGCTGGGGGAGGGAGAGTAGCTGGGGGATGGGGGGCGATGGGGAGAAGGAGAAGGGGAAGGGGAAGGGGAAGCGGGATGGAACGGAGGAGAAGTCTGGGAGGTTGATCATTGCCTTCATCTGTGACCCGAGTGCAGGTGAGGGAGAGGAGGGAATGCAAGGAAAAGAGAGGTGTACGTGCATGATAAGGAGCGACTTAGACACGAGTAGGAGCGACTTTGGCACGACTAGGAGCGACTTTGACACGACTAGGAGCGACTTTGACACGACTAGGAGCGACTTTGACACGACTAGGAGCGACTTTGACACGACTAGGAGCAACTTTGGCACGACTAGGAGCGACTTTGACACGACTAGGAGCGACTTTGACACGACTAGGAGCGACTTTGACACGACTAGGAGCGACTTTGACACGACTAGGAACGACTTTGACACGACTAGGAGCGACTTTGACACGACTAGGAGCGACTTTGACACGACTAGGAGCGACTTTGACACAACTAGGAGTGACTTTGACACGACTAGGAGCGACTTTGACACGACTAGGAGCGACTTTGACACGACTAGGAGCGACTTTGACACGACTGAGCATGAGGTGTGGGAGGCTGGCGATCAATTTCGTGTGTGACCCGAGTGCAGGCGAGGAGAGGGGAAGTGCGGGTGAGGGGAGGTGAAGTGCGGGTGAGAGGAGGGGAAGTGCAGGTGAGGGGAGGGGAAGTGCAGGTGAGAGGAGGGGAAGTGCAGGTGAGAGGAGGGGAGGTGGTGCCAGCATCAGGAAAGTGGGAGAGGTGTGGGAGGCTGACGATCACTTTCATGTGTGACCCGAATGCCGTTGAAGGGAAAGGAATAAGTAGGTGTGTAGGAGTCACGTCAGAGAGGTGTGCTGTGTGTTGTAGGGGAAGACAAGTCTTGTATTGGGTGAGTGACGGTAAGAGGGGTTGTACTGGGTGAGTGAGGGTATAGAACGGGAGGTAGACATGGAGGCGTAGTCCCAGCCACACAGGGGATAGGCCATCAGCTGTAGGGGCTAATGGCTGCACCTTCTCTCCCAGCTGCAACCAAACTCCCTGCGACTGCTGCTGTCTTTCCCCCGTCCCTCCCAGGTGCAGCTGCTTTTTCTTATCACCTACAGAGACATAGTCCTGGTCACACAGGTGGAGGCGATGTGTTAAAGGATGCCTCTTCTCTCCTGGCAGCAACCAAACTCCCTGTGTCTTCTGCTGCCTTCCCCCCTCCCCTCCCGGGAATTGGCCACCCCGCTCCGTGGACAGGAGGCAGGCAGGCAGCCTCCAACGCCTCCCTCTCCTTCCTTGCATGGGCTAAGAAAGGGGCGACATAGTCCCAGTCACACAGGGGGGGGGGGCGTTTGGCTGGAGTGGGCCACCCCTCCCACTTGCGCCTAGCATCCCCGTTTTGCTCCACCCTTCGCTTCTGGCTCTCCTTTGTGCCCCAATCTGCCCTTTGTTCCCCCAGGAATCGGCCACCCCGCTCCCTGGACGGAGGGAGGCAGGCAGGCAGCCTTCAACGCCTCCCTCCCCTTCCCTGCCTGGGCTAAGAGGGGGGGCGACATAGTCCCAGTCACACAGGGGGCAGGGGACGGGCTGGTGCCCGGGTGTGCGTTTGACATGGTGTGGTACAGCGCGTATGCGTGCCCCCTGTGCTCCGAGGGCGATGTTCAAGAGGTGAAGGTGGCTGACTGCCGCAACAACAAGCGGTCGACCTACAAGTACAAGCATCCAAGGGTGAGTGTGAGCAATACACGCATCCAACAGAGCAGTACAAGCATCCAAGGGTGAGTGTGAGCAATACACGCATCCAACAGAGCAGTACAAGCATCCAAGGGTGAGTATGAGCAATACACGCATCCAACAGAGCAGTACAAGCATCCAAGGGTGAGTGTGAGCAATACACGCATCCAACAGAGCAGTACAAGCATCCAAGGGTGAGAGTGAGCAATACACGCATCCAGCAGAGCAGTACAAGCATCCAAGGGTGAGTGTGAGCAATACACGCATCCAACAGAGCAGTACAAGCATCCAAGGGTGAGTGTGAGCAATACACGCATCCAACAGAGCAGTACAAGCATCCAAGGGTGAGTATGAGCAATACACGCATCCAACAGAGCAGTACAAGCATCCAAGGGTGAGTGTGAGCAATACACGCATCCAACAGAGCAGTACAAGCATCCAAGGGTGAGAGTGAGCAATACACGCATCCAACAGAGCAGTACAAGCATCCAAGGGTGAGTGTGAGCAATACACGCATCCAACAGAGCAGTACAAGCATCCAAGGGTGAGTGTGAGCAAATGCTGATGGTGGGATTTTATCTGGCTTGCGTACGCGTGCCCTCTGTGCTCTGAGGGGGATGAACAAGAGTTGGCAGCCGCAACAAGCGGTCGACGTTCAAGTAAAGACATCCCAGGGTGAGTCTCAGCAGCACTCTGACCTGGCTTTGGACGACCTGGGGTGGGTTTGAGCGATATCAGCATCCAACAGGGGGGGGAGAGGAGAGGTCGAAGTTCAAGCACATGTAACCCAACAGGGAGGGGGTGAGTGTGGAATGGCCACCAGGAGGACTAGTATTTGAATCATGAAAGCTGTTCTTTGTCCTCTTTGGGTCGACTCAAAACATTACAGGCATCCCAGAGTGGGCTTGAAATCGCCATCATGACTAGCATTTGCTTTATGAAATCCGTGCGTTCCCTTCGTTCTGCAAGAGATGATGATGATGATGCACCATGTATGGTCCTGCCCAGCCCTCTCCCTCCTCCTCCCACATGCCACCTCGCCCATGCCACCTCGCCCATGCCACCTCGCCCATGTCCCATCCCACCAGGGCCCAACCCCCAGGCACCACTTGCTCCCAATCTCCCCTCCCGATCTCTCCTCCCAATCTCTTCTCCCAATCTCTCCTCCCAATCAAATCTCCCAATCTCTCGTCCCAATCTCTCCTCCCAACCAGCTGTATACTGCTTTGAGGCACCTCAAGACAAGTTCTCTCCTCCCCCCTCTCCCTCCCACCCCGCATCCTCCCCTCTCCCATCAGGTGTGTCAACCCAGTGCCCAGGCGCCTCTTTCCCCCCGACCAGCTGCGCGCACCATGCTCTGAAGTGAAGGAGCCTCAAATCACGAGGCTCCCCTCTCCGCCCCTCCCTTGATTTTGCAGGGTGTTTTTGAGAATTCTCAAAACCGCCCAGTCGCCTCTCCCCCTTGACCAGCTCCACGCACCATGCACTGATGTGAAGGAGCCTCAAATCACGAGGCCCCCCTCTCTGCCCCTCCCTTTCTCCTCTCCCCATCTCCCCTCCCCCGCCCCAGGAGGTGTGTCAACCTAACGCCCAGGCACCTCTCTCTCGCGACCAGCTATGCGCACGCACTGTCTCAGAGGCGCCTCAAATCACCATGGCTCCCCTCCCATTCTCCCCACTCTCAACGCTCCCGTCTCTCCTCTATCCTCTTCCCCCCCAACCCCCTTTCTCCACCAGGTGTGTCAACCCAATGCGAGGAGTCTATTTTTGAGGCGCCTCAACTAGAGGCGCCTCAAATCACGATGGATCCCCTCCCATTCTCCCCACTCTCACCGCTCCCATCTCTCCTCTTTCCCCACCCCCCCCCCCCCCCCCCCCCCCTTTTCTCCACCAGGTGTGTCAACTCAATGCCCAGGCACCTCTCCCCCCCGACCAGCACCGTGCCCTGTCTGAACGCCGCCTCGAAGCACAAAACCTCCTCTCTCCGCTCTCACCCCTCTCCTTTCTCTCCCTCCCTTCCCCCATCCTCCCGCTCCCACCAGGTGTGTCAACCCAATGCCCAGGCCCCTCTTCCCCCCGACCAGCTATGCGCACCGTGCACTGTAGACGACTACAGTAAATTCGAAGAAAGCTGCACCGACAGCACGGGCAGCCACAACATCTCCTACTCCTGGAACCTGCCCAAAACCTGCAGCGAGAACCTGCCCGAGGCCGTGAAGCTGCCCGAAAATACTCTCGCGGGCCCGTGCGACCTCGAGATCCGTTACATCCCGGCGAAATACCTCGCTCCAAAATACATCATAATTACTGCAATTGGAGCTGTAACGATCGTGGTGCTGGCGGTGATGTCGGTGGTAACGTGGTTACGCAGCCGGCGAGTGTACTCCATGTACTCGCGACTGGTAGCAGAGGAGGTGCAGCTGGAGGCAGAACTGGCAGCCATGGCTGAGGAAGCAGACCAGGAGCGAGAAGACATGCTGTTTAACAGGGACTCAAGCTACCCATTATAGGGAGGTTGCTTTTGAGTCGACTCAAAACCAGCTTCTTAGTTGACTCAACCGAGAGCGAGATGGTATGCTGTTCAACCCAGGCTCAAGGTACCCGTTATAGGGAGGTCGCTGCAACTTGTGCAGGTGGAAGCAGAACGGGCAGGCATGGCTGAGGAAGCAGATGGAGAAAGGGGGATATGCTGTTCAACCGGGATCCAAACTACAGGGAGGAGGCGTCACTGTGTGACGTCTTTGTGAAGTGAATCTATCCAAACGCGCTTTCGCAGTAGTGTAAGGGCATGCCCTTCGTGGTTCTTTATGGATGTATTGAATTCAACTGTTGCTGTCAGGGTCAGGGAGCATTCTTGGGCCCCGTGTCTGGCCAGCCTCGCATCCCAATCCGTGCTCCAAACATTTGCACCATGCAGTAGCACACGAGCCACGCACCTCATGTCTGGATGTGTGCTGATTGGATTTGTTCAAACCCTTATGGCCTAAGTGTTTCTGCACATGCTGCAGCTTCCAGCAGGGCTTTTCAGCAAACAAGTGGATCATCCATTAGCCAGTTTTGTAGCACCAAACCAATTACTCTCCAATTCAATGCCCTTGGAACTCCACTGCGCATGTTGCCGCATTTTACTTCACATGCACCTTGCAAATATCCTCATAATCAATCCTAGGAATCACTCTCCCATCATACGCCCCCCTCTGAATCTCCACCTTAGCGCAAAATCTCTCAGTATCAACCCCCACCAGCTTCGCCAGGCACCCCCTGTACGCGCCATTCACAATCCTCACCACTCCTCCAATCTGCGGCAGCACCGATTCCAACTCCTGCTGATCCACTCGCACCACATGACCCTCGTCCAACGTCTTTATCTCCCCCACATATCTATCAATCACCCTCACCACCACGCCCTTTTGCTTGTAGTACCCTTTCTCCTTGAGCGCTTTACTCATGATCTTCACTACAATGCCCTCCGTCAGCCAGTAATCCTTCCGGTTCGCCCTCTCCTTGGCTTTCTCCTGCTCCTGCATTAGTGTTGCTAGGGTTCCCCCAGCACCAGCACCACCAGCACCACCAGCACTGCCAGCACCAAGTCTAGAACCGGCTTCTTCCCCAGTATCACCACCTCGTTTCGCCTTTTTCCCTCCAGGAGCCCTACCACCAGCCCCATCACCATCGCCATCATCTTCCTCCTCACCAAACATAGGCGCTGCTGCTCCGGCTTTAATCTCCACTTTATTGCTGCCTCCCGCTTTTGGTGCTCCACCAGCCTTCTGCGCTCCAGACCCGCTCGCTCCGCCTCCTCCTAACCCGCCAAACGCAAACGCGATTTTCTCTCCTGCGTTCGGATCACGCTGCAAAGCCATTTTTTCTGGATCAACCGTCTTCTCTTCCGATTCGTCCGGCTCCGGCTGCTTGGATCTCGCCCGTTCAATCTGCTCCTGGATCTCCTTCTCGTGCCGCTCCTCCCCCACCAGCTCGGCGCGCTCTCGCTTCTTCTTCTGGCCTTCTTTAAACAGCGTTTCCGGCTCGCGGTCTATGTAGCTAATGAACCAGCCCTTGGGGGTGTCCTCCACTTTGCACAGGCCCTCTCGGCCGAGGTGCTTGACGAATTCCGTTAACGTCAGCCACTTGGTGGAGTTCATGTGCACGTGGTGCCGGTCCGCGATGTACTCGTTATAAGCCACCGTCGCAGCCACGCGGCTGAACCTGTGGCTCCGTCGAATGTGCTCCATAAAAGTCTTTTCGAATTCCTCGGAATATCCGCCGACGAAGCGCTCCGGATTCATGCCGAAGACCTGCATCTGGCGCTGATGGCCCTCCGACATGCAGTGGCACTTAAAGCCGTTCTCGTCGCGGCACTGCTTCTGGCACATCTGACAGTACCATCGCAGCTTTTGCAATCCCTTGGCTTTGATTCGGTTCGCGATGGCCTTCGGCGTAAGAAACTCGTTCTTACCCATGGCTCCTTACCCTATCGCCGAATACGACCACGTTGGTAAGAAGCGAACGCTTTCCGTATCCTATTGCGGAATTAAGACTAATCGCTGAATTAAAGAACAAGAAAGGCAAGTCTATCGGCGGACTCGTACTCGCGAAAAACGCAGGTCTTAGAATCAGAACAGCTGGTACTGAATGGAGTCTGGAGCTGTTGTAGCCAGTTCAACAGCTCTTATGGACGGCGGAAGGAATCCCTGGAATAAACCCAAGGTACCAGTTCCCCGAATCTGAACCCGAGGTTCGAGTTTCCTCGCCCATGGACGCTTGCAGGAGCCCGCTCTCGGGTCACACGCGCCCTCTGGTTTTCGTTTGCCTGTACCGGACTTTACTGAACCGTTCTAGACCGAATTTCAGTTACTTTTGAACGCGACGAACCGTCTTAAATGCACCAGATTTCAAGTGAAATCTCTAGGTTACACTTGAAGGGATGTGCAGTGCAGCGTCGGTTTCGAGGGCAAATGTTCGACCCTTCACCATGCCAAATTACATCTCTAGCTACCAGACTGCACTGCTGAAGTTGCGATCCTGACGGTCACCTGAGCCCAGTTGCACCTTGTCTAAAAGCGTACTTGATGTTGAATATCAATGCTAATAACCAACGGGCTAAAGGCCAAGCATAATACAATTGTCAGAACGGGGAAATGTCGAAGGCGAGTTGACAACACGAGATTGCATCCCCTTCAGTCGCCTACTAGACTAGCTTGCCGTAGCTTTTAAATCGCACGCAAGCTGGGAGTAGCGCGTGGACCGCCGGCAACGTGCTGTCGGAAACCATTGTTTTAATTCATAAGCCTTGAATCGTTATTTTCTTTTTAACTTTCGTCACCGATCATACTCGTTTTTTCCTCAGCGATGCGCGCCGAGCTTGATCCGGGATCACAAAGCAGCGAAAGCAATGGAGGTATCACCAGTGGTAGCAGCGCTGGTGGTTCCGTGTTCGTGACGGTGGGTACGACGCGCTTCGACGCGCTAGTGGAGGCGGTGGACAGCCGCGAATGCCGGAGAGCGCTCTGTGAACGCGGGTTCGCCTCCGTGGTGGTGCAGCGGGGACGAGGAACGTTCAAACCGGCCGAGGTACTATGTATGGCGAGCACCGGTTTTTCCATCAACACAGTGGGTGGGGTATGTGTAGTAATGCCGCGGAGCGTTCAAGGAGCGGGGGCTCACCTCCGTGGTGCTGCACCGAGGGAAAGGGACGTACAAACTCGCCGAGGTATGCGTGGCGAGGACAGCCTTTTTTTCCACGGTAGCAAAGGTCGCAGAGCTTTTGAATCAACTCAAAAGCAGGCCCGCCGAGGTATGCGTGACGAGGACAGAGTTATTTTCCACGGTCGCAAAGGTCGCAGAGCGCCCAAGGAAAGAGGGTTTGCCTCCGTGGTGGCGCAGCGAGGACGAGGGGCGTACAAGTCTGTTGAGGGGGCTGTTGCGACAGGCCTCTCACCCGGAGCCAGCGGCTTATGCACACACCTGATGAGAATATGACCTGCGGTTGGAGAGAACCCTCATATGCCAAAAGCTGCCAACCTTATTCAGAAAGCCGGTTTAATTTGCGTGGCTGTATTGTCGTTACTAGCATTTTTCCATCCTTATGAATTTTCCCTTTCCCATGCTCTCCTATCAAGATGGCAGGGCGATCCTGACAACACTGGTGTGACAGTAACGAGCTTTGAGTTTGCCCCCTCCATGGCCCCCTACGTCAAACAGGCATCCCTCGTTATAAGCCATGCAGGTGAGCTAGCATCCTCGTTATAAGCCCTGCAGGTGAGCTAGCATCCTCGTTATATGCCACGGAGGTGAGCTAGCATCCTCGTTATATGCCATGCAGGTGAGCTAGCATCCTCGTTATAAGCCATGCAGGTGAGCTAGCATCCTCGTTATATGCCATGCAGGTGAGCTAGCATCCTCGTTGTATGCCAGGGAGGTGAGCTAGCATCCTCGTTATATGCCATGCAGGTGAGCTAGCATCCTCGTTATAAGCCATGCAGGTGAGCTAGCATCCTCGTTATATGCCATGCAGGTGAGCTAGCATCCTCGTTATAAGCCATGCAGGTGAGCTAGCATCCTCGTTACATGCCATGCAGGTGAGCTAGCATCCTCGTTATATGCCACGGAGGTGAGCTAGCATCCTCGTTATATGCCATGCAGGTGAGCTAGCATCCTCGTTATATGCCATGCAGGTGAGCTAGCATCCTCGTTATATGCCATGCAGGTGAGCTAGCATCCTCGTTATAAGCCATGCAGGTGAACTAGCTCTCATGCCAAGCCATGCAGTCGACTGGGACAGGTGAGCTTCTGGGCCTGTCATCCATGCCATCGCCATGTTATCACCCCGTGATGTCATCTTATGCATATCATCCCATGTCATCGCCATGCCATGCCATCATCCCGTTTCGTCATCAAACCAAATCAAATCAAATCATATCATATACATATCATCAAATTGTGCCCTTCACTGTCTTCCCTTCCCCTCCCTCTTTCCTTTCCGCTCCCCAAGTTCAGGCAGCATATTCAAGGCGTTGAGAGCAAATGGGCCTCCAGTAGTGCTGGTGAAGGACGTACTCATCATGGATAGCCACCAGACGGGGCTGGCAGGGGCTCTGGCAGACAGGCAGCACCGGTGACTTATCCCCCCTCTCCTCACCCTCTTTATGCCTGTCTCTCTCCCTCACCTTCTCTCTCTTTCCCTCAGGTTCAGCCTTTCAGGCAGCATATTCGAGGCGTTGAGAGCAAATGAGCCTCTAGTCCAGTAGTGGTGGGGTGGTGAAGGACGTACTCATCGTGGCGGTCAGACAGGCAGTGGTGATAACCACCAGAGGGGGCTGGCAGGGGCTCTGGCAGTCAGACAGGCAGCATCACACATCCTTCATACCTTTTTTGCCAATCTCCGCACCCTTCTTATCCCTTTCTCTCTCCGGTTTCCTCGCAGGTTCAGGCAGCATATTCGAAGCCCTGCGAGCAAGCAAGCCTCTGGTAGTGGTGGTGAACGAAGCGCTCATGGATAACCACCAGAGGGAGCTGGCAGGGAGGGAGCTGGCAGGGAGGGAGCTGGCAGGGAGGGATCTGGCAAGGGCTGTGGTTGAACAGAAGGCATCTTGCTCACCTCTCCTCGCCCTTTTGTGACTTTCTCTCTCCATCCACCCTTCAGGCTCAGGCGGCATATTCGAGGCGTTGAGGGCCAGTAAACCTCTGGTAGTGGTGGTGAACGAAGCACTGATGGACAACCACCAGAGGGAGCTGGCAGGGGCTCTGGCAGACAGGCAGCACCTGTTTTCCTATCCCCCCTCACCTCAGCCCCTTTATGCGTGTCTCTCTCCTCTCCTTCTTTCTCATTTCCTCAGGCTCAGGCAGCATATTCCAAGCCCTGAGGGCCAGCAAGCCTCTGGTAGTGGTGGTAAACGAGGCACTGATGGACAACCACCAGAGGGAGCTGGCAGGGGCTCTGGTGGAACAGAAGGCATCCAGCCCCCCTCTTCTCACCCCTTTTATGCCATTTTTCCTCCTCTTTTCCTTCAGGCTCAGGCAGCATATTTGAGGCGTTGAGGGCCAATAAACCTCTAGTAGTGGTGGCGAACGAGTCTCTGATGGACAACCACCAGAGGGAGCTGGCAGGGGCTGTGGTTGAAGAGAAGGCATCTTGCTCATCTCTCCTCACCCTTTTGTGACTTTCTCTCTCCTGCCATCCTTCAGGCTCAGGCAGCATATTCGAAGCCCTGAGAGCCAGCAAGCCTCTAGTAGTGGTGGTGAACGCAGCTCTGATGGACAACCACCAGAGGGAGCTGGCAGGGGCTCTGGTGGAAAGGCAGCATCTGGTGCAGGCCACACCTGCCAGCCTGGCTGCTACAGTGCGAGAGATGGACTTAAAAGGGCTGGTGCCGTACCCGCCACAAGAGGCAGAGAAATATGCGCAAGCCTTGGATGAGTTCTTAGGGTTCTCATAGGAGGAGGTGACTTTTGAGTCGACTCAAATGGTTCTCTTCTCTCGTAGGACGAGGAGATGCGCGTTGCGCATGTACATGTTAAGACTAGAAGGAATGATTAGAGGAAGGGAGAACAGGGGAGATATAGCATTTGGGTTGTACCCACTAAGAACTTACCCTATCTCGCCTATAACTTTTACATAACAATATACCGGTATGTATAAGTTGACACACCCCCTAGGTTAGATAAGGGGTAGTGCTGAGCAAGAAACACGCAGCTCAGGGTGGCACTATTAGTCCAACCTTTGAGGCATGGGCCTGAAGACTAGTCAGCAAGAGTACAAGCAAGACAGAGCAAACCAGGGCGGCACTACTAGTCCAACCACTGGAGGAAAAGCCACAAGGCCAGTCTAGAAGGCATAAATAGAAAGGAGTACACAATCCAGGGCCTAGCAAGTGAGAGTCAACAGGGACTAGACCTAACTGCAAGCAGTGCCGCTGATGATCTTGGCGCAAGCGCCTTGGTAAAGATATCAGCTCTGTTGGCATCGGAGGCCAAGTGTACTATGCGGGCCTGGCGACGCTGCTGAAGCTCGTATAGGAGGAAGTACCGCAGCTGGATGTGCTTCGCTTTGCCCTCAAGTCGAGGCTCCTGACACAGGAGGATCATGGCCCTGTTGTCAGCGTACAGAACCGGGGCAAAGCTAAGCCGCTCACCTAAGTCAGCAAGCAAGAAGGTCAGCCAACGGAGCTCCTGTGCCGCCATGGCACCGGCGTAGATCTCAGCCTCACAGCTAGACTGAGCAACAGACGAGGAGCGACTGGACCTCCATGAGATGGCACCAGAACCAAGGCTGAAGCAGTGGCCCTGGGAGGACCGGAGGGCCTCAGCGTCGTCTTCCCAAGAAGAGTCTGTGTGCCCAGTAAGGACCACTGGCCAGCGTCCTCCCAGCACTAGCCCCATGCCCGATGTACTTGCAAGATAACGCAAAACCCTCTTAGCGGCCGACCAGTGCTGTGGTCAGTGTCTGTCTGTGGCCACAAAGCGGGCCAGGATGTTGAGAGGGTATGCGCGCTCCGGGCGAGTTCAAGTCATCAGGTACATGAGGCAACCCAACAGCTTTGCGTAAAGACCACTGGGCTCTGCTGACTCCTCCGGAACTGGAGCTGAGAGCCTGTGGTCTACCGACAGAGGTGTGGGCTGGGCGGAGGAGAACTGAAGACCGAACCTCTGAAGGACCTGGCGCACCAAGTGTGAGTGTCTAAGAGTGATGGTGCGCGCTTCTCTGTCACTGGAGATCTGCAGGCCAAGGTACCGGCGCAGCTCTCCCAGGTCAGTGCAGGTGTGTCGCCTCAGCAGTTCCGCCTTCACGGAGGCCAGCGCATCTCTGTCTGCTATAGCAAAGACCAGGTTGTATACGCAGACTAGGATGTAGAACGGAGTCTGGCCAGCACGAACGAGGAGCGAAGGGTCAGCAGAGGACGAAAAGAACTGCAGGTCAGCTAGTGTGGCACGCAGCGTGTCGTGCCACTCACGGGGCTCCTGTCGCAAGCCGTAGACGGGGCGCCGAAAAAGCCACTGGGTACCTGGAGGGAAAGTACCGGTGAAGCCCTGAGGGCGGCGCTGCACGTGTAGGCTGCCCTGGAGGAAAGCAGTGGAGAAGTCAAGGGAGTGAAGCTCGTAGTCACGCTGTGCTGCTACATGTAGCAGCGCCCAAAGAGTAGTCATCTTCGGGGTCGGGGCGAAGGTCTGAAAGAAGTCCACCCCCTCTCGCTAACTGAAGCCTCTAGCCACGTAGCGTGCCTTGAACACATGCAGCTCTCCAGGGGGGCGCTTCACATTGAAGAGCCACCGGCCATCGACTACGTTCACCCCAGGTGGCGGAAGTGCGTCGACGTAGATGCCGGTAGCCCTCCAAGATGCCATCTCCTGCTCCATGGCAGCTATCCACTGAGAGGCCCAGGGTCCCGAGGTCGACTCAGTGTAAGGTGCGAGGGGTCGGGATGTCAAAGGCGTCTGGGTCACCCTCAGGGACTAGCAGCATGGAACAGACATGGGGAGCAGCCTCTGACAAGAAAGCAAGCTCGTACAGACGGTCCTCCAAGACGTCACTGGCGAGGGCAGGAGCACCCCCGACGGACGGAGGACAGACAGGGTCAGAGACCAGAGCGGTAGCGAAGTCAAGGCGGCGAGTAGAAGCAAAGTCAGCGACAGCAGCTACAAGAGCGTCAAGACTGGAGACAGGGACAGACGGGTCGGTAACCAGGGAGGCAAGGACCCGAGGAACAAGAGGACGAGCAGCACGAAGGTAGTCAGACATAGGGAGAGGCACGACAGTGAGCGACGACGGAGGAGGCGAAGGCAAACGGGGAGGATGAGACGCGTGGGAACGAAGCAACATAGGGTGAGAATGCTGAACATGAGAGACAGGACAAGCACGAGAGGGACGGCGAGACCAGACGTGAGACGGAGGCGTCGGGTCAGGAAACAGAGGAGGAGTAACAGGAGGGGAACGAGAGGGGAAATGAGCCGGGGACGATTCTGGCGGAGGAAACACAGGACCGTGAACAGGAAGAGGGGGAGACGGCGAGGGAGGGAAGGCCGAGCAGGCGAAGGGCGGACACCGGCGGCGACTGATGCTGCTGCTGCTCAACGCCAACACCTGGACCACCAGCTGCATCACTGTTACCTCCTGTCACAAGATCGAATGACTCGAGAAAAGATTGCACTATCGATCAGTACAAGGCGCTTTTATACTTCCAAAGGTCATTAGGTAACCAGGTTTATCTTATCCTAAGGGAATAGACCCCTCTAGAACATAGAATCACCCTGCGTATAGCCACGCGAGGCTATTGGCTTTAAGGGATGACAGCAGGATTACGCTAGATAGAGCATACCAGTACATCCCAAGCGGCAACGGAAGTGGTCGTCGAGGCGGCGGAAGCAGTGGGCGGTGGGTTGCGAGTGGCGGCACACCGTGCCACGCAAGGGCTCGGTCTGAAGCTGGTACTGGCAGCTCACAGCACCGAAGCTGCTGGTGGACGCCGAGTTGCGAGGGCCAGCACCACGACCACCACCGCCAGGGGCTCCTGGCCACCCGGGCGGGAGACGAGCCCACCGATGCAACTGGAAAGGACGAGCACAGTGGGCCTTTGCGCTACTTCTATGTCACCGATGCAACTGGAAAGGACGTGAAGGCGTATCCTTGCATGTACGCCTATATTGGCGACTTCCCAGAAAGCTCCAGGGCATCAGCCACCATGCAGCACGGCTCGCACCGGCCGTGCACAGCATGTTACGTCAAGAAGCAGCACCTGTTGGATCTGAATAGATGTGCACAACGCAGGACGAATGGGAGGCAGCGCATGGTGGTGGACTCCATCCTCGCCGCCGCAATGGCCAAGGAGGCGTCTTGCTAGCAGTCGAAGTGGGCGACCCATCTCATCGACGTAAGCGCTAGTGGCGTCCTGGTATGTCTCATACCCTAGCACACCATGAGTGGGGGCGCCATTCAAGTCGCGTTACCCAACCCAGTGCCCGCCATTCCCAGCGATCATGCGGTGTGTTGTGATCGCAGTGTGTCCTTCGAAGGTGGAACTTCTCAGAGGAGGAGTGGGGCAGCATTTATAGGGCATGCGTCAGAGACATCCTACACGTCCTCGACGCGGGGGTGTTCTGCCACATGACGGAGTGCTTCACTGCAAACAAGACTGATGTCGAGCTCGGGGAATTGGACTGGTATGGGCCTCTTATGCACTTGCTGGCCAGTAGCTATACATCATGCCATACAGTTGGGAGCAGTGGCATATGCGCACAAATCCTGCACATGCAGCAATACAGCGCTCCATCCTCCTGCTGTAACACCCCTCTGTCGTTCCCTTTATTGGCTCCCACCCCCCACCCACTTCCCGGCCTCTTGACAGCCACAAGAAGCAGATGAAAAAGGGGACCAGGAGCGTGGTGGTCAGGATACCTGGTGGGCGCCGTTTCTTTAAGAGCGGCACTGGATACGCTGCTTTCGAGCACAGGGGCCTCATGCAAGTCATGCCCATACTCATTGCGGACAAATGTGTGGATGGCAAGCCTCTCGAGCGAGAGCAGAGGGAGCAAAGGGAAAAGGAAGTGCGGGCATTCAGGGCATGTGCCACGTTAGACTCTCCTGGGAACACCAAAGCACACGCGTGGCTCTCTTGCGCTGGCACGACAGCAGGCGACACAGTGAGTAATTTGTTGTGGGGTATGCTATAAAGATGTTTCGGCGCCGTTATGTCATCGTCCTATTTGTGCAAACCCCGGAGGTATAAACCCCTTGTTCCTGTACTATGTCGGGGCCATGCATTTGCCGGCGCTGCCTTACCATGCGCTGAATGGTTGATGCGCTGCTCGCGGCGTGGCTAGGCCAGAAGTCTCACTGGAACGTCGTGAAGATCCACTTGATTCAGCACATCATTGACGAGATTCCGATATGCCATGAGAGTGGTCGACCAACCTGTACGAGCACTCGCACAAGGACACTGTAAAGGCGCCGGTGCGGGGAGGGAATTGTAAGGACATCTCCAGAAGGATCATCGAAGAGGAGGTGCAACGAGAGATCACCAGGGAAATTGCAGTGGACGCAGGTGGCGGGCGCACATATGTGTGAACAACATGTTGTTCACACAGCAACCGGGTTTCTGTTGCTTTGAGACCCACTATCTGTACCTATCATCCGTGTGTGTCATTACCTCCCTTTACACCACAGGCGGTGCGACTGGGGACACATGTCCTCACAAAGACATACTGCGCTATGCATCAAGAGGATCCCAAGGACACGCTATTAGGCGCGTACCGGGCGGTGCTAGGGTCTGACATGGATGACCTGCTGTGTCGTATGCGAGCCGAGTCTCTCCGGACTGCGCGAATCATGGTGAGCGATCGCTAATTACTTCCAACTCCGCTGTACATGTGCTGGCATATGTCAAGCGTCACCAGTAGACAATCTCCAGGCCCACAGACTCGCCGATGCCGGATGCACACAAGGGTGTTACACGTATGGCTTTATCTCTACCCCCCCGCATGCTTGTCTCGATACCATACAAGTCCACACGGCTGTGGACATCCCCCGGACGCGGGGGGAGTACTGTTGGAAATACCTCAAAGGACTTGAGCGTTTCTGAAGTGTAACACTACACTCGAGGAAGATCGCAACGGGTACGCGAGTCAACGGAGGTTACACGAGGGGGTGGACAAAGAACGCAAAGGGACTCGAAGGG